ATTTTGTTTGGTATTTTTCATTTATAGGTTTAAGAATATCCAGACATTTCCTTATTTAGTCTTAATCTTGCCCTATTTTACATGCAGTAAGGTTGGTGTAATTTTATATACTGGCTACTTTGAATGATTATTTAAATTTATTTTATGCTATTTATTTTTAAGAATCCTACAACCTTATGCATCTTTTAATTTATGTTGTAATTGTATTGAAAATTTAATATTTGTAGTGCATCAGTTATTTAAGTAATTTATTTTTTGAGTTCTAATTTATTAGAATGATTTACTTTTTAAGATTCTTTCAGAAGTTAAAGAATAAAATTTGAAAATTTACCACATTCTAATTGTCCAAGCATAAAAATGGAATATTTTAAACATTTTGCGAGGTTATCTTTTTAGGATTTAAGTTTTTATTCAATGAGGTTTTCCAATTTTCCTTCTTAATTTAAGAAAATCACTTTGAAAATTTTCATACACACGTTCAAAAAATACTTATCTATAGGTAGTCTTTAGGTTTGTACATATTTGACATTCAAAGTACGGTGATTATATACATAACCAAAGTTTCATAGGTCTAACTCTGCATTGAGATTTTCTAATTTTTTGAAAATTTTGGAAATTTAAAAAAACATAAAAGAAAACTTGAAATTTAAGAATTATTTTATTTTTAGAAAATGAAATAATTCTTCGTTTTTGAATTTCGATTTCCAAAAGCTTGAAATTAAGGTTTCTTTAAATTTTTTAATATTAGAAATCTAAGATTACATGATAATTTATTTTTAAAAATGATTTTCTTGCTTCTAATTAATTTAATTTATTTTATATGCCTGTTTATGGGACATCTACATATCTCATTTTAAGAAGCGTGACATTTGAATTTATACATAACAATAGTAGTTTACTCCTTGATAGTGAGATGTTGCTATCTCATTTTGAAAAGCACAACCTTGATTTCGTAAATGCTTTTAGAAAATTTCAATTATTTTATATGTCACATGCTTCTAACAAACACGTGCGAAGTACTTTGCACGGGCATTCCATTAGTATTATATAAGGAAAAGCTTTCTATGTTCTCCTTACAACATAAAAGTTCTATTATCCCTTACCATCCAGCCATCTATTGTTTATCAAGGGAGTCACTCATCGTTTGATCTTAATATTTTATTTTTAGTTTTTTTAATACAAATTATTTGAATATAAAATTTAGTACGTGCCATCTTCTCATTGGGGCACACCTATAAAAAATATTAACAATAGTTTTTCGATTACACATAATGACCAAAATACCCTTTAAACTGTTCAGGGGTATTTTGGTCATTTTATTTTATTGAAAATATTGTTTTTATATTTTTTGTTAATGCGAGTTTAATAGAGGAATGGGCGTCCACAATTTGGTGTCAAAATAGTTTATAAAAAAAAAAATTAAAAATAAAATAGTGTAGAGGCGTGACATTGTGATTGAGGCAATCTTAGCCCTCCATTAAAAAATGAAGGGTTGAATAAAAGAGAAGATAGAACGTAAGGGAGCATACATACAAAGCTTTACCATTATATAAAGGATGACTTCTTTTGTGCAGCACGTGGCA